GCCAAAAAAACCCCAAACCTGCTGGTGCTAGAAAAATCCCTGCCACAGCTCCCCTGGCAAAGCAGAGGAGCGCTGAGGGGGGAGAGTTAACTCGTCGGTCCGGAGGTGCTGAAAAGGGTCTGTCTGTGCTCACAGCCTGAATTTTTCAGCGGGTTGTCCCAACGGGCAAAACGCTCCTCAAAAATCGCCTCGGAGCCTTTAGCCTGGGACGGGCACAGGCGAAATTCCCGGCTGGAGGCGGCTGTGGGAGAGTTAGGGAAGTCTGAGGGACAGGGTTAAACTTTGCGAGCACATGGAGCATCGCACCCCTCTGCTGGCTCATTAATATGATGCTGTCATAGGACTGCAGCACTGCAGTCGGAGCAGGACTCGGAATTAGCCCCGGAGCTGCTGCCTTGCATTTGCAACCACGGGCAGCTCCAGCCGCTGCTCAGCCTCTGGAATTTCACATTATAAACGCAGGGAAGAGGCTTTATTCTAATGATGCAATCACGGGTGCTAAATCTGCTCCATTAATTTTGCTCCAAGTTTTCTCCACAGGCACAAACCATCCCTTTGGACTTCATTTGGAAGTCAAAACAAAATTACTGCCTATTAGGGCATTGCATTTTGTTTCCTTTTAGGAAAAGGATATGCTGTGATCTGGTTTATTAATGTTTTTTCCCCCCTGGTAAGTAAAGACTGTGAGGGGGGAACAGATCCATGTTTTATACATATGGAAAACTTACTGTAGAAGAAAACACATGGATAACAGAGGTGCTTGGGAGCTTTTATTATCCATTTAATCTTCTGAAAACAAGGGAATGGTGTTGAACAGCAAGTAAGGAGGGGCATATGGAACTTGGTAATAAACCTCCCTTTCATTAAAGACCTCGATGTTTTAAATCCAGGATGCAAAATAAATTGTTGCTTTATAATCAAGCAGTGACAGCATTTGACTTATTTATTTCATACTGAGATGCAGCAATGCAAACTTTTACAGAACAAACACAAGACCCCTCCTAAAACGTGTGGGTCACCTTAAAAATCGAGATCTTTAGAGGAGGGAAAAGTTTGAATTCACAGAGGAATTTGCAAGCAGAGACAGAAACCCTCCTGAAACAAAAACCACGTTGTTTTAGTTGCAAACCCAGCCTTGCAATGGGGAGGTGCAGGTGGACAGAGCTCCTGCTCCCTTATCCTGAAGGTGATCTGAAGGTTAAAATGAGTCAGGGAAATCAGCCTGAAACGTTGCCTTATTTCCCAAGAGATTTCTGATCCCCCCTTGGGAGATTTTGGAAATGCAGCCCCATATTTCTGCTTCTGGAGAACTTTTTTTACTATTATTATTTTTGGCCTGGGAGTTGAAGAAACACTTGGGAGCAAAGATGTCTGGGCTTGGAGGCAGGAGAAGGGAAGGAAAGGGGCAACTCCCCCGGAGTGGGAAAGCAGCAGCAGCCCTTTGAATCTTGATTATTCACTATTGACAAACCTGCAGCAAAGAAATGCTACAGGAGGGCGAGACTGAGTCCTGCAGCTTCCTTAAAAAAAAAAAAAAAAAAGAAAAAAAGGGAAGAAAATGCAGGAGGTGGAGTAAGACAACAGCCTGACTGCTTCCAGGGAGAGGAGATAAAATATGGGCAGTGATAATGAATTCACTAGAATATCTTAAAAAAAAATAAATTAATCAGATGAAGAGAATAAAGGGGATTTGGGGTGGATTTTTTATGTTATGGAGAGGCAGCAGAAGGAAGGCAACTGGGCAGATAATACAAAAATCATTTATCAGCTTAAAGGGTGTTGCTAAGTCACTGCCTGTTTTTAATATAAACCTGATTTAAGCTTAATCTTAAGGAAATTAAGCCTAAATGGGTCTTCATGATATCCATGCAAGGAGGGCAAACAGGAACATCAGCAGGAATTTTGTCAGAGTGGAAGAAGAGGCGGGAAATCAGAATTTGGTTCACTTTTCTATTCCACACCACGGAGTGATGTGAACTGGTGTGACCCTCCAAGGCCCGGGATTTATAGTGATTTCTGCCAGCTGGAGACCTTGACACCCTCAAACCTCCTTTGGTCACCCTAAATTTCGGATAAATAACGCCCCAGGTAATCAGCTGGTGGAAACTGGGCTCATTCCAGCTGAGTCAAGAGGGCAAGGACGGACATTTGAGCCCAGCTGAGCCCAAATCCTGAGAG